GGGGGGGGGGGATGGGACCCTACAGCTCTGGGGATGCCCCCGTGCGACCGACACGAGCCCTATCCTGGCACCGCTTCTCGCTCGATGCAGTAAAACAACGTTATTGTATTGACATGGGAAGCCGGTCCTTCAAAACAGTTATTCTGCTCAGTCAGGCGATCGCGCGCGCGCGCGCGCCGCACCCGCATCCGGCACGCAAAAAAACTTTACGTTCTGCCCTGCTCGACTGCGGAAGGAAGGAAATTCGGCGGGGCGCGCGGCAGACGAGTCGCTATGGCATGTTGGACGAGAGGCGCTCTAAGTTGGCAAGGAATAGCAGCAGCATGGGAAGGCCGTAGAGTATCTGGCGCCCGGGAGGCTCACGCAGTTGCTGCGGGGGCGGCGGCTTTCGCTGAAAACTGAGGCTGACCTCCTGCATCATCGTTCAGGTTGTTCGTTTTTCGGATTAGTTTTTTGTGTTTTGATGTCTTTTGCTGTTTGTTTGTTTGTTTGTTTGTTTGTTTGTTTGTTTGTTTGTTTGTTTGTTTGTTTGTTTGTTTGTTACCGGCGGTGCGTAATGAAATGAGGCACAAGGGGGCCCCCGGGTGTCCACACGGTGCTAATTATGCAGTCCAGCCGGCCGGCCCGCAGGCCCCGCGGCCACGCCACGGAGCCATACTGACCCTGACCCTGCTGCGCCCCCTGTGCCCCCCTCCCCCCCATCCTCCGCTCCCCGCCTGCTGCCGTAGGCCTCGGAGATTGGGGAGATCCCTTATCGACCACATGTGGTGAATACCCTGTCGTTAAAAAATTTTGCACCCGTAATTATCCTTGTCGTGCGGGGGTAATCACTCCCTGCGTTTTGGTGTACAGGTACAGTAAAGAGTACTCGCGATAACACGCGCTGTTATTATTACGCTGCTAGTACGTATTACCACTGTTAACACCGTGGTCGCCTGGCTTGCCAAAATGTTGGCAGTGCGTCCTTTTTGATTGCCAAATTTTGGCCTTCATTTGAAAGAAGGCCAACTTTTGGTAAGCACGGAGGCCAAAATTTGTCAGCCTCCGAAAAGACGGCCAAAATTTGACAAGCAAGGAGACCGAAAATTGGCAAGCAAAGAGGCCAAAAATGGGCAGCCTCCAAAAGACGACCAAAATTTGTCAATAAAAAGCGAATGCCAACATTTTGACAAGGTAGGCGACCACGGCGTTAACAGTGACCCCTTCGGTCTTTGCTGCTATTAAAAACAGTGGAATGTTGTGCGGGCCTGCTGCACTGAGCAGCTTCCTCTTCCCCGCCCTTCCAAATAACCCCCGCGCAAAAAGACACCCGATAAAGTGATTTACGCTAACGGGCACGTCTCTGTACCCGCCGAGCACGCCCGTGCCACCCGACCCCGCCCCCCTCACCTTT